TGTGGCTCAAATGGTAGAATGCTAGTCTTGAGCAAAAAAGCTCAAGGACAGTGCCCAGGCCCTGACTTCAAGCCCCAGGACTGGCAAAAAAAAAAAAAAAAAAAAGGAATTAAAAGATCATGGATAAAAACAGGGTTATGAGATAATGACTTTTGTTTACCACATTTAAATTTTTTGTTAAATTGCTGTTAAGATATGTCAAAGTGAGTTTCACTATCTGAAGTGAAAAAGGACTTCTTAATGTTAAATGATATATCTGAAAATATTTTATGACAATATTCCATCTTTGAGTTGTATAGAAACTAGCTCTAGCTTTCTCTCTCTCTCTCTCTCTCTCTTTTGTAACAACTAAAACTTCCCTGTGATGAATTTTGTCAGCTCCATTCAAAAGTTATATATCTCTAACCTTTATGTTTCTATTTACAGCTCCCCTGGTACAAAAAGTTCTCCCAAACCTGCTTTATTTTTTTTAATTTTTTACAAAACAATAGAAAATCAAGCTGATTGTAAATATGCCTTTCTACCTTTTGCTAACACTCTTTTGTGTGTGTGTGTGTGTGTGTGTGTGTGTGTGTGTGTGTGTGTGTGTGTGTGTGTGCATACTGGTCCCACGGCTTAAACTCAGGGCCTAGGCGCTGTTCCACTAGCACTTTTGAGGCACAGCTCCACTTTCTGCTTTTTGGAGGTTAACTGGTGATCAACATCTCAGGGACTTTCCTGCCCAGGCTAGTGTCCAACCACAATCCTCAGATCTCAGCTTTCTGCGTAGAAGATTACAAATGTGAACCACTGATACCTCATTTACCTTTTACTATTCTAAGTCTCCTGTGGAAATTATCTATGCTATCATATTCATATTTTGTTTCCTTCTATGTACTGTTACAGTACTTTAATTTCCTCCTAGAGATTAACTCACTAAAATGAGCACTGATTTTCCTCAAACACGCATACACAAACATTCATTAATTTCCTTAGTGTTCATTTCAAATGAAACTACATCTATGATTTCAATTAATATATTTATTTCTTAATGGTATACTCCCGTACTATATAACATTATGCTTTGTTAGATTATGTTACTGAAGAAGATTTTATGTTCCCATTGCTCCTAATGTATAGGAGCAAGTTATTTCATTATCTTTTCCACTGACATATAGTTTTCTTCTACACTGCCAGACAAATAATTCTGGTTTTTTTGGGTTTTTTTGGTCAGTTGTGGGGCCTGAAAGCTGGGCCTGGGCGCTGTCCCTCAGCTCTTCAGCTGAAGGCTAGCACTCTACCACTTGAGCCACAGCACCACTTCTGGCTTTTTCTGGTTATGTGGTGCTGAGGAATCAAACCCAGGGCCTCATGCATGCAAGGCAAGTGCTCTACCACTGAGCCACCTTCCCAGCCCCAATAATTCTGGTTTTATGTTCCAGGTTTTCATATTTACAAAAGTATATTTTATTTACTTGAACAAACAAGCTATGATGTTTTAAAGAAATGCAAACTATTATGTTAACTTCTTGAAATTAGTAAAAAAAAAAAAAAAAACTGGAGTCACTCATAATAATCTACAAAATAAGCATAAGGTCTAGATTAGTTTACGCTATTGTTAGTCACAACACTAATAGGAAGTCTAGGAAGTCACTTCATATTATAAAAAGAAGGAACTCATGAATTCTAACATTCATTCCATTTCTAACTATCCGGGTCCTTTCAGATGTCTCATGTAATTCAACTGAATTGTGCATCTGTTATATTGTAAACCTTTAAACACATACACACACACAATGATATTTCCGGTAACAAAGGTATTTAGAACTAAAAAAGAATGGAACTCAAAAAAGAAAAAAAAAGTGTATCTGGGCATGTTCATACTTTGACATGGCGTAACTGACATATCCCTTCCCCCCAAACTAGTGACAGCATCAGTTAAAAATTAGAATGAGGAAGTCCTTTGAACCCAGGGTTTGTACTTGCAGGAATTAAGACTACTGAATGAACATGTAAGTATTTAGGTAAACATGTTCAAGGATATGTATTGCAACAGTGTAATGTAATATGTAATTCATACTTTATCAAGTCCAAACTCAGATTTGTTATTTCCACTCACAATTCTCCTTGTCTCCTGCATGCTAGTACACAGTCCCAGTTGGTCAGGACAAAATACCAAGGAGAGAAAATGCATTCCTCCTTCACAAAAATCTAATAGTGAATCTTACCTCCTTTTCATCTAAAATATTTACCAGTCATCCTCCAGATACCTATTATTATCTACTCAGGCCCAGCCACCTTTCTACCTCAACTGGACTAATGGTAAAAACTTCCTGGTGTTTTCTTCCCTATTAACCTTGCCTTTCAGAATTGTAGAAGCCAAACAGATTATTTTATTTTCTATTTTATTTTACTTTATTTTAGATAGAACTGGGGTTTGAACTCAGAGCTCATGCTTTCTCAATTAGCACTATACCACTTGAGCTCTTTCAGCTTTCTGCTGGTTATATTTTAATGGTTATTTTGGAGATGGAATCTAGCATACTTTTCTGCCCTGTCTGGGTTCAACCCAAGATGCCCCAGATCTCAGCAACTTGATTTAGTCTAGGATTACAGGCATGAGCCACCAGGATCCTAGCCAAGATGATCATTTTAAAACATGAACTTCCCATTGTAAAATTTATCCATGATTTTGCTCTGTATTTCATACAACATCTAAGTACTTCACTGGCATCTGCCTGGTTTTCCAGGCTCATTACTTGACATATTTCTTCATACTGTGACCATGCCAAACTAATCAAGCTCCAAGACACTTAGTCAAGGTTTTCCTCCAGCATGGAAGTATTTTAAGAACAGTCCCTTGTTATTCAGGATTATCATAGTATCGAATGTAGCTTATCTAATTGCCCATTTATAATTAACCTCGATCAAAATTATCTCATTTGTTAATTAGTTGTATGTTTTCCCTAATAATATAATAAAGTCCTGCTGACATGAACTGCTTTACTACTACTTCGACTGTTCTTGAGACAGGATCCCACTATATAGCCTAGGCTTGCCTTGAAATCACAGTCCTTCTGCCTCAGCCTCCTTAAAATATGTGTCACCATGCCTGACTTCTTGTATTGCTTTATCTCAATGCTATATGCAATCTATATCAATATATATTTGTTTTATGAATGGTAAAATAACTTTGGGGAAACCTGAGTTTTTCTACTTCAGTGATCTACTAAATCTGATCTACTAGAATGGCAAAAAAAAAAAAAAAAAAAAAAAATCAGCCAGATCAACAAAGATTATAACAACCTGCACAGTGCACAGTAATAAGTAACTGATCTGGCTGCATTAATCTCAACTTCATTTCTGGACATACACACACACACACACACACACACACCTTAATTTGTAGTCATTTCCCTAAGCTCTTGACATTGGCTATAGTTCTAGTATAATAAGATTTAATACTGTGAAAATCATGGAAGACAAACCTGGCTTATACAGTATAAGACAATTTATGTTTGAGTTACAGTTTAGAGAGTAGAGACTTTTTTAAAGCAAGTTTTGTTTACATTAAGAACAAGAAGAGCATCAGATTAACCAGAAGGGTGAGAATCTAAAATAACTCAAGGATTACCACCTAAATGCTCTCCACATAAAACCATTTCACTATCATCAATCAGTACCATGTGTTCTTGTGTGGCAGATTATAAAGTTTAGACTGTTCCTGATTATTTAGATTTCAGAGATGTAAAGCTAGAGCCTAGGCTACAATGTGTGCCTTACTTCTAAAATCATCCCAACTCAGTTATGTGACATATGCTTTATAACCTTGTCCAATCTACTAGATTGCATAAAAGTTCTCTTCCCACTGACCAAATATCTCCTTATTCTATGCATTCCAAACTCTACCATGTCTTGAAAGTATCCTTTATTCATCCATGTTTGAATCCTCTATTTGTGTTTCTAAAATATGGTACACTTACATAAGAAGTATACGGTAAAACCACACTACATAACACACTTGTTATTAAGAACATGATCTTATTTGTATTTTATAATTTATTTGATAAATTACTTATAATTTAGAAACTGATTATGGGAGAGACTAGTACATAAGTGTTAATTTTCATTAATACAAACATTAAATTAAATTTTGTATATATAAAATTTTAAAATTTTTGGATATTTACAATTCATCAATTTGTACAAAGAATGCCTATCATACAGTCATCTCATCATCTTTCTTACTCAAGAGTTTTTTTTGTTTTTTTTTTTTACTTATATAACTCCTGAAATCTTCTGAGTTTGTAACCATCTGACTTTACTATTAATGATTTCAAAGTCTGCTACTGCAAGTCCCAGAAAGGACATAAAAATGCCATGGTGCACTCTCATTAACACATACCTCAAGCTCTACACTAATAGTTTTTCCATTAAAAGTGATTCTTTGAAAAGAATAATTAAATTTCCTTTCTGTGATGTTGAATAATGTACTTCATCTAAGCAGACAGAGCAACACCAGACCAAAACTAGAGGTTTCTCTGAAACTAGAGGTACCTCAAAATGAGAGCCCAAATTAAAGTTAGTTTCAGTTCTTAAGAAAAGTCTCCTATGAATGTCACTTCTTCTCTATTATCTCAAAACAAGAATCCACAATGTGCAGGGCATAGAGCTCTAAAGACTATAAGTAATAGAATGTAAAGAAAAACTATAGATCACAGATCCTATGGGATCACAATACCTGCAAAGGAGAAAAAAAAATTATTTTTTTGTAAACAGGATTGTATGCCGGGAAATGAGAATCAGGGGATTAAAACCTTGGAAAACACTGAGACAATGTACAGTTTATCTCTTCAACCACCTACCTTACACAACTCACAGAACAAATGAGGCAGTGAGAAGGGAAAGAGATTTATACTTAGTTTACTCTCGTAGCAAGGTAACACAGTATGAGTAAGTCGCAGTATAGAATAAACATTCCACTTGTATAGTGCTTGCTGTCAAATACAACAGAAACTTACCTTCAAAAATGGACCCCAATTTATATTTTCCACTGAAAAACTGTGGCAAGGAAAATACAAGTGCTCCCAGTCCTATCATGAATGAAGCAAACGCAAGCCACCGGGGCTTGTGTCCCCTTTCACCGAAGAATGACACAAATAGTGACAACAAGCAGAATGCGATATCATAACTGGAAGATATCAAGCCAGTCAGGGAACTCTTCATTTCATAACGCTTCTCAATTGTGGAAATGCTAATATTAACCAGGCCATTCACTACAATACCTAAAAAAAAAAAAAAGGAAAGGAAATATATATGCATTATTATCACTTTACTATATAGTTTTAGACTGTTAATCCAATGTACTAAAATGTTGTTGTCTCTTTGAATTTGAAAAATCTAAAAGAGAACAAATAAGATAAGGACTACACAGGCCATTATTGTAATGATAAATTGCTTCCTAACTAGATTTTTATCTTGACTTTGATGTAAGAAGAGGAAACTGAGCTCTTATATTGTTTTTAATTGTCTAACACTTTTATAAATATTCATTTTATTTTTGTCCTTGTCTCCCCCTCTCTCATGTGGGGTTTGGATATGAAGCTTAGGCTGACTTTGAACTTCAGATCTTCTACAACCTTCCTTCAACCTTATGAAGGTTGGTATTACAGATGTGGGTCACCACTCCCAGTTTAAATTTACATTTAAAAGATTCATGAGGTGGGCTGGGAATGTGGCTTAGTGGTAGAGTGCTTGCCTAGCATGGGTTTGATTCCTCTTCTCACATAAACAGAAAAAAAAAAAAAAAAAAGCCAGAAGTGGCACTGTGGCTCATGACTCCTGTAGAGAGTGCTAACCTTGAACAAAAGAAGCTCAGGGGTAGTACCCAGGCCAAAAACAAAAAGATACGTGAGGGCTGGGAATGTGGCTTAGTAGTAGAGTGCCTGCCTAGCATGCATGAAGCTCTGGGTTCAATTCCCCAGTATCACATAAATAGAAAATGCCAGAAGTTATGCTATGGCCCAAGAGTTGGAGTGCTAGCCTTAACCAAAAGAAGCTCAGGGAGAGTGCCCAGACCCTGTGTTCAAGCCCCAGGACTGGCCAAACACACACACAGAAAGAAAGAAAGAAAGAAGGAAAGAAAGAAAGAGAGAGAGAGAGAGAGAGAGAGAGAGGGAGGGAGGGAGGGAGAGAGGGAGGGAGGGAAGGAGAGAGAGAGAGAAAGAAAGGAAGGAGGAAGGAAGGAAGGGAGAGAAAGGAAGAGAGAGAGAAAGAAAGAAAGAAAGAAAGAAAGAAAGAAAGAAAGAAAGAAAGAAAGAAAGAAAGAAAGAAAGAAAGAAAGAAAGAAAGGAAGGAAGAAAGAAAGAGAAAGAAAAAAGATTCATGAGTACATAAACGAAGAATGTTATTTTGACTAATAGTACTCTAAATTATATTCAAAATATTAGAAATAAAAAAGAAATCCTTATACTCCACCTTCTTATTACAATTATAATAAAAGACTAAAAGAGAAAAACTGAAAATCCAATTTTGACCAGTTTTATAATGTCCTCTCCAGCCAGGCATGGGGGCTCATGCCTGTAATCCTGGCTACTGAGAAATCTGAGGCCAGTCTGGTCAAAAAACTTTACCCTGGGGCTGGGAAGGTGGCACAGTGGTAGAGCGCTTGCCTTGCATGCATGAGGCCCTGGGTTCAATTCCCCAGCACCACATAAGCAAAAAAAAAAAAAGCAGGAAGTGGCACTGTGGCTCAAGTGGTAAAGCGCTAGCCTTGAGCTGAAGAGCTGAGGGACAGCGCCCAGGCCCAGAGTTCAGGCCCCACGACAGGACCCAAAAAAATAAAAATAAAAAAACTTTACCCTTTTGTGCCCTAACACACTCATGTAATAAATACAACCTACTACATTAGTTGTAAGTGCATAATGATAGAAAGTATGTTAGGAAATTAGGTGCTAAAAGAAATTTATTTCTCTCAGGGCTGGGTAGGTGGCTCAGTGGTAGAGCACTTGCCTTGCATGCATGAGGCCCTGGGTTCGATTCCTCAGCACCACATAAGCAGAAAAAGAAAAAAGCCGGAAGTGGCGCTGTGGCTCAAGTGGTACAGTGTTGAGCTGAAGAGCTGAGGGACAATACCCAGACCCAGAGTTAGGCCCCACGACCGAACCAAAAAAAAAAAGAAAGAAATTTATCTCTAAAAAATGATACATTAAACAAATTTGTCATTTTTTCTTCCCAATTAAGCATCTGTTAATTACCAAAGAGAATGATCTTCCTAAGAATCTTTTTGAGAAGCAAAGTAGTAATGATTGCAGTCATTAAAGCTTAAACTAAAGCATGAATTAAATTACAGGGTCACTTTCACCTTGGGACTTTTTTTTTTCTCAATCTTGGGGCTTCAACTCTGGGCCTGGGTGTCCCTCAGCTGTTCAGCTCCAGGCTAGTGCTCTATCACTTGAACCACAGCTCCACTTCCAGTTTTCTTTACTTGAGATAAGAGTGTCACGGACTTTCCTTCCCAGGCTGGCTTTGACCTGCAACCCTCAGATGTCAGCCTTCAGAGTAGCTAGGATTACAGGCGTGAGCCACCAGCGTCCAGCATCCGGCTCATCTCAAGCCCTGTGTGTGTAAATTGGTATTTGGGCTTAAACTCAGGGCTTTCTATTCTTGCTTAGCTCCTCCAAGACTGGTGCTTTAATCATTTGAGCCATACCTCCACTACCAGCTTTTTAATTCTGGTTAAATGAATTAAGAATCTCTTGGATTTGTCTGCCCAGGCTAGCTTCAAACCTCAATCTTTTGGGGGAGGCAGGGGGAGTGGTGGGGGTGGCGGTTGCTGTTGTTGTTGAGCGTGGGGCTTGAACTCTGGGCCTAGGCTCTGTCCCTCAGCTCTTCAGCTCAAGGCAAGCACTTGAGCCACAGCACCACTTCTGGTTTTCTGGTGGTTTATTGCAAATAAGTCTCACCAACTTTCCTGCCTGGGCTAGCTTTGAACCATGAACCATGATCCTCAGATCTCAGCCCCCTGAGTAGCTAGGATTATAGGCGTGAACCACTGGCGCCCAGCTCAAACCTCAATCTTTAATCTTAGACTCCTGATTAGCTAGAATTACAGCTGGAACCACAGTGCCTGGCTAGATTAGTATGCTTCTTAAATTGTGGCTCTCTAGATAGAAGAATGTTAATAATCTTGTTACTAATTAAACATTTTACATTAGATTTCAAATAATAGCTTGTAATAACTTAGAAATATCAGAATAACTAGGCGACTTTCTGTGTTTAACTTCTTAAATTCTGTATTCCTTCAGTACTCATGCTTCACAGCCTCTGATTTTAGACAACTAAGATGACAGCATTAAAGAAGACAAACTGCCCAGAAAGAAAATTTTTCATCATCCCCAATCTTAGGTATAATCGTTTACTTGCAATCTCAAATACTTAGCACTTAACAAGTGAAAAGCGGTGGAGGAAGGGAGGGAGGGGGTAATGATCTCCTTGGAGATCATTCCTATTTCCTAGTAGGAATAAGAACAGGGAATGTAGTCTTGGATTTAGTTTTCTATTAACTTAGAAAAAAAATGTTTTCCAGCTGGGGGCATGGCTCAAGTGGAAAACTGTCCCTGAGTTTAAATCCCAGTGCCTTCAATAAATAAGAAAGAGAGAGAGAACAAAAGAGAATACTATTCCACACTATATTGTTATATTCCTTCTTATGTAGATTCTGAAAAAAAATTATTTTGAAACTATGGGTCAGATCTCTCTCTCTCTCTCTCACACACACACACACACACACACAAACACACAAACACACACACACACACCAAATTCAAACTTTCAACCTCTCCTTTAAGATTCTCCACTTTATAAAAGCGCCAGACCCCCTCCCCAGTCACCTCCACGTGACTTCCCATTTCAGCCATACCTTCCCTCAGAGGCAATCACTCAGGCTCGGGAACTTTCTCCAGGCTATAGCTTTCAAAGGAGCCTCCCCCCACCCCCTCCCCTTCCCCCAAGCCTGGTTTAGACTGCGAACTCTACAGGGTATAGATCTGGACTTAATCGGTCACTCCCAAGAGAATGGAAAATGAGATCTTAGAACAAAACAGGTACTGGAAAAGCTCTGTGAGGAGTGAAGGGCCTCCGTCCACCAAGGCCTGAGACCCTGGCGGACTGGCCACAGCCAACCCACTCCCAGACCCGCAAGGGTCACACCGCCTCGGCCTTCCCGGGGTCGGTTCCCGCGTTCAGCCTCTTTTTACCCAGATCTGCACACGTGCTCATCCTTTGCCTGAGGCGGGGGAGAAAAATCCTATCCAAAGGAGACACATTTCTGATAAAGAATGTAGAAGAAAACAACAACAACAAAGCAGCAGAACAGAAAAAGAAAAGGTTTTATGCTCCAGACAGGGCTTCCCCCCCCCCCCATCCTCCCTCCCTGACAGGGAAAGCTTCTGGCAATTTCCCCTGGAGGGAATTAAACTTGGGCGACCACACAAAACTAGTCTGACCTCGCAGAGCTAGTTCGCGGTGCTGCCCCGGAGCCTCGTGTGCGGGGCTGGACCTCTCGTGTGGCAGACGCGGTCAGGGCGAGCGCGTGCGGGTTCCCAGGCCCCAGCCCCGGCCGCGCGCGCGCGCCTGCGGGGATCCCTCCGCACCCGAAGCTGGCCCTGCCCGCGCCGCAGCCGGCTCGGGCGCCTCCGCGCGGGGGCCCGGCGGGCGCCCCCTAGCGCGCGCGCGCGCGGGACTTTACCTTGGGTGAGGGCCAGGAGGCAGTAGTGCAGCAGAAAGCCCCGGGGCGTGTTGCAGCGCTGCAAGCAGCGCGGGTGGAAGTTCCTCCAGCCGCAAGGACCCTCCTCGTACTCGGACGCCTGCGGCCCCGGCGGCTCGTGGGCATCCGGGGGAGTCGATGCAGGCAGGGGCGGCTCCGGCGATTTCTGGGGCTCCGGCGACTCCGAACCCTCTCCCTGGGAGTCGGTAGACAAGCCTGAGACCTCGACCAGGGAGGGCGATGCGGACGCGCGGCGCGGGGTGTCCGGGCTGGAGGGGACAAACGCCGGGTTCTCTATGCCTTTGGCGCCCTTCATGGCCCGGAGCGCTTCTCCTCGGGACTCCGGTGAGCCTCCTGGCAGCCCTGAGCCAGGTTCCTGAATGTTCCTGGGTGGCGCCTCCCTTCGACAGGTGACAGGAGAGCCCCGGGCGCGACCAGTTCCCGCCTCCCGGTCCTCCCACTTCTAGCGCGGCGGCGGCGGAGGGGCTGCGGACCCTCCCGCGCGCCGGACCCCGCGCTGCGCACTGCGCGCCCGCCCGCCTGCAGGCCGGGAGGTCCGAGCGCCGCGGCGCCACACCTGTCACCGCGCGCACCAACCGGCATGCGCTGCGGGGGCGACCGATCGGAAGCGGCGGCCCCCAGGTGAGGGGGGCGGCCGGCGGCGCGGCGCTGGGGCCTCAGTCCCCGAGCCCGGGGAAGGCAGAGAACAAGTAGAGATTGTGAGTCTGCGGTGAGCGCTACCGCCCCCCCCCCCCCCCCGTGCAGACAGACAGAGAGCTGTAAACACCATTGCATCAGGATAGGGCACCGCAGTCTTCTTCCTGCGCTGCCAAGCAAACCAAGGATCCAGGACTCCGACAGGCAACGCAGCCACAGGTAGACAATTGCGCATTCCGAGAACAGCCTGGTAAGACTTTTACCTGCAGCTGAAATCCACTTTCTCCCCATCATCATCCCCTCTCATAGAACCTCTCAATTATAACCGTCAACCAAAGAAATAGAAACATAGATAGACACAGAGACAGTGACAGACAGACAGAGGCAGACAGACATTCTCTGGGCTGTTTATTTCCTGTGTAAGATCAACAGTGCTGTTTTTAGTGGAAATAATTTGAACCTGTGAAATGAAGAAAAGCAGTTTGAAGACCTTCACACCATCGGGTTAGAATTCATTCGTTCATGATGTCATTCCGCAACCAACAGTATTTATTGTTGAGTGACAGACATTCTGGTAGACTCTTAAGTGTGCACCAACGAACAAAAACTGGCAAAAATCTCTGTCCTTGCTGGGCTTACATTCCAATAGAAAATAGACAATAAGTAATAAACAGTACACAGTGCATAGTATATATGATGATGAACAATATATATTCACTGCTCAGTGAAACTTTTCGGTCAGCAATATGCACTATATGTGCTGGTTTGAGAGACTGCAATGTAAAATATGTAGACTCCTTTGATTAGACATGTATTTGTTCCCTCACAGTAATAAAGTTCAAGTATTTTAAATGTCTGCTGTATACTAAATTAATATCATGTAGTCCAGCTGTTTTTGTCTATATTTTACACTATAAATGATATTATAAACATATATTCCATGAAAGCATATACCAAGGAGGATCAGTAATTCTCCCAGGGTCACAGGGCTCATAAGTGACTTGCCACTTGTGAAGAATTAGAACTCAGTTCTCTTAGCCTGAGCTTTGCATTTTTTTCATTGTGAACTTTGCATTTTTTGTCCCTTACTTCATCCTGCTCTGAGACATCAACACATATTATATTTTTTCTGATATTTGTGAGGTTTTTAAAGACTCAATGCTAGTTAGGTGCTGGTGTCTCATGCCACCTGTAACCCTAACTACTCTGGAGGCCACAATCTGAGAGGATCACTATGCTTAGCCACCCTGGGCAGGAAAGTCCTTGAGACTCTTATCTCCAAGTAAACACTAAATCCAGACGCCGAGCCACGTTCTAGAGGCAGAGCAGGAAGATTGAGCAAGAAAGCTTAAGGATAGCACCTAAGCCTTGTGTTTAAGCCACCCGACATGCCCTAAAAAGAAAAAAAAAAAGTCAATGCAAATCTGTCTCAGCTATTTTGATGGAATCACCCTATTGATGGAAATAGACTCCAAGCCAACATCTTTGAGTGTAAATAGCTCTCACCGTTTTATCTATGGGAACTAATTTACCCATCTAGAAAAGTTTGCTCTGATGTATTATTAAATCCAAGTAGCATAATCATTAGACATTTAAAATCATACTAAAGAGAAGTCTTCGCTCTTGTAGTGTTAGAATTTTTCAAAAAATGGTATTAGTAAAAGTGGTATTACTTCATCGTAAATGCATGTGGTTCTGAATGAGGGTGACATAAATACCATTTCCTAATACCTCACAACTGTATGCTGCAATGAAGAAATGAGGGAGCCTTACTTTTGCAGGAAAGATGAGAAAAGCTTTATAGGTTTTATCTTCTAGTATGTCCATGGAAATTTGTCATATTTTAATTGTGGTCAATTTATGAGAAAGTCATTTTAATGAGCATTGTCAGAATATATAGCATGTTAAATTTCAGAAAGTAATTGAAAAATTGCTATTTAGTAGATTTTATTTCCTAGATATTTGTGTTGTTTGTGTGTGTGTGTTTTGTTTGCTAATATATACATATACATACATACATACATTTGTTTATTTTTGAGGCCAGGTCTTACTATGTTACACAAGTTGACCTGAATTCTGGGCTGGGAAGGTGGTTCAGTGGTAGAGCGCTTAAGCCTTGCATGCCTGAGGCCCTGGGTTCGATTCCTCAGCACCACATAAGCAAAAAAAAAAAAGCCAGAAGTGGCACTGTGGCTCAGTGGTAGAGCGCTAGCCTTGAGCTGAAGAAGAGCTGAGGGATAATGCCCAGGCCCAGAGTTCAGGCCCCACGACCAGACTCAAAAAAACAAAAAACAAGTTGACATGAATTCTCTAAGTAATTCTCTAATTCTCTAAGTAATCTAGGTTGCCATTAAATTTAGTCCTCCTACTTCAGGCTCTCCATTGCTGGGATTACAGGTGTATGTCGCTACGACTGTGTCACAAGCTATATTTTTGGAGTGTGGTAAGGGCAGACAGAAGTGTCCACGTTTTATAGTAAAACTCCTCCAACACTGCACACAAGAGCAGATGCTGCTGCTGGAACTGGATTATAGTATCACCTACTAAATGTAATCTATTAAACCAAATTTCTATTTAATACTTTCAATTGCAACATAAAGATATGTGGAGAGGAGAGGAAATGCAGCTATATACTTTATCTTTTTGTTACACTAATCATGAAACACTAATGATTATATATAAGTGCAAGTAATCATAATTTTTAAAAAGAAAACAAATAGTTTTGTGTATGGACTGAGGGCTTCATACTGTCTTAAGCTTTCTTGCTTGTACCACTTAAGCCACACCTCCAGCTTGGCTTTTTGCTGACTAACTAGAAATGGAATTTTTTTCTTTTTTCTTTCTTTTTTTTTTTTTCTGTCGGTCATGGTGCCTGAACTCTGGGCCAGGATGCTGTCCCTCTACTCTTCAGCTCAAGCACTTGAGCCAAAGTACCACTTCTGGCTTTTTCTGCTTATGTGGTACTAAGGAATCTAACCCAGGGCCTCATGAATGCAAAGCAAGCATTTTACCACTGAGCCATCTTCCCAGTCCTTTTTAAAATTTTTATCAATAAAAATTCATTGTACAAAGAAGTTTCATTATAATATTTCCATATATTTGTAACATGCACTATGATCAGAATTGCCTCTTATATGATACAATTTTAACCCCTTCCTTCACCACGTTTTCAAATGGTATTTAGTGGGTTATATAATGCTTTTTATATATGTGTATAATGCATTTTGATCAAAACATTCTTTACTGAACAGCTGATGTGGATGGCTTGAATAATCTTCAGTATGTTGTTACTTTATACAAGATATGGATCACAGAATCATAATCCCGAAGAGGGAAAAGCATTTTTACTGAATAAAAAGCAGCTATACTACAGCTCTTCATAGTCATGTCACACCCACAATTTATTATCTGCTTTTTGGGAAGTAGAAGGATGTGAAAGGTTATTAAAATTTTTATTCATTGAGCTATGAAGGACATCAAGATACCATTTGTTTCAGCAATCTGCCTCATAGAATTTTAATGTCAAATCCACCCTAAAGCTCAATGTATTCAGTAGAATAAAAATAAAAAACTAATTGCAGATGAGGGCAAGGAAGGAACTTTCATGTATTCATTCATATATTCTTGTCTCAGTTTGGGGAAGTAAAAGGAAGTCTAATGTGAGATTGAGGGAACAAGCAGATACTATACTATAAATTTGTAAAACAAAATGTGCAGGGTGGTATAGGGAGGAGATGGGAAGGGATGGGAAGGGGAAACAAAGGAGGAGGCAACAATGCTTGATAAGAAACGTACTCATTATCTTGCTCATGTAATTGTAACCCCTCTGTACGGTATTTTTACAATAAAAAAATATTTTTGGTTACAACAAAAAGTTTAGTCAGAAGTGTGAGGCAATGGGCAGTTTTTAGAAAACATTTATGTTTCTCCATTATAAGTACTTGTGGAAATTGCAGAGTATGCTCCTAAAGGAGACAAGCATGAAGATTTTTTATATCACAAAAGAAGTATGAGAATAGAGAACTGTTTCAGTGGGCATCAGAGAAGGGACAGGATTTACTGTCCATTCACAGGTTGAAGGAAAGTGATCCCACAATGAGATTTATCAGAGTGTATGAAATTTATTAGGCCAAAGATAAAAGAAGTAAATACTTTTGACACAGTAGAGAAATGAAGATAATGATTTTAAAAGTAAAAGAAAAAAATAACATTAAAAGCATTATAAGTGGATTAAGGCATCCAGAGTTCATACTTGAGAGGCTCTCAGTGAGGCTGAGAGTCAGAAGATGGTACTTGGAAGCCAGCCTGAGCAGAAAAGTTCATTTCTTCACAACTAATAGTTGTGCTTGCTATTTCAACCATGTTGAATTATGGTGTCAGGTCAACATGGTCAGAAAAATCTTAAGAGACTCAGTCTTTACAGAAGGCAGCTGGACACCTTAGTATATGCTTGTGATCCCAGTGAGGACAACAAGCCTAAAATTAAGCAGATCCAGTTTCAAGACATATGCCCAAGTAGGAAGGGAGCCCCGCTGATGGCATGGCTCAGCAGTATGGCACCAGATGAGAAAGCTCAGGCCCTGAGTTCAAACCCCAGTGCCACCAAACATTAAAACCTCCAAACATTACAAATAAGGAAGTAAATTCATCACTCAGACAAAATACCTGGGCACACACAAGAGATTTTTTAAAAAGTGGGAAAAAGCAGAATGACACCAGATTGAAAAACTGTTCCATATGAAAGAATAAAGAGAAGTAAAAAGGAAGAGATAGAGCTACCCCTCATACATAAATATACAAGGTGCCCCACCCATTA